AAAAGGATCATGCTCATAATCAAATCAAGTACATATCAAAAATAATTATGGGCTTAGATACCTAATCCAACATATATGTAACCTCTAAGCCCCTAAAATCGTACCAAGAGTATTCTAAGAGGATATAACCGATTTTTGGTACTCCAAGCTCTCTTTCTCATTTTCATCCAATTGTTGGTGGTGTTTTGTGAAACATCTGAGGCATCACACTTGAGGTGCTAAGCTCTTGAAAGGTCAACTTATACAAGCTACAACAAGAGGTAATCATCTAACTAGTTTTGTATGATTCAAATATCAAATTTGTATGCTAGTTAGGCTTCATGCTTTGGAAAAAGAATATTGCATGTATAACTAGTGAAAACTTAGATCCAAAGAATTATGGTTGTATGTGCACCATAGGGATGTTATAGTGATCAAAACCCAACAATTTCAAATGTAAATGTTTACCAAACAACAATTTACTACATATAGTTAACTACCTGGAACTCCTCCCAATATAATGTGTGCATTGCTTTGCTTACTTTTCCCCAAGTGTACCCTTATGGATCTATTCTTTGTAAAAAGGATTGACTAATAATGTGTGCACAAGGGCCTGGTGGCATGAGCTTGCAAATAATCATGTGATCGTTTTAGTTTTAAATTAATATGTATGTGTAGACTAAAAGGTTATACATAGAAGAAAGTTGTAAGATATGATTTGTAACTCACGTTTTTTTTTCCAAACATGAACAGTTAAACGTCTATCTGGTCCATAATCTTCATAGGAATTGTTTTCACCTTCTACACTTTCCACAACAGATCCATTCATGTTTCGTTGTGTTGGTGATGAGGTAGATTCTGGGATAGGTGTTGGTGATGGGGTATATTCTAAGGTACGTGTTAGGATAGATGTATATGTTGAGGATGTGGTAGTTCCTTTAGGTAAGGAGGATTTGGTAGTTACTGTAGTTGTTGAGGATGGTAGTGTCGATGATGGTTTTGAGGTTGTGGTAGTAGATATAGGTGTTGATGATGTGGTAGTGGATATCGGTATTGAGGATGGTTTCGATGATGTAGGTGTTGAAGTTTTGGTTGTAAATGTAGGTGTTCAGGATGGTATTGGTTTAGTTGTTGAAGTTTTAGATGTATTTGATGAGGATGGTGTGGATGTTGTAAGTGATGTTGAGGAAGTGGTAGTCATAGTTGGTGTTAATGATTTAGGTTTAGGGGTTTTAGTGCTAGATGTTATAGGTGCATTGGATATGGTTGCTGATTTTGGGAAGTCAACTTCTTCATCTTGTAATTGTCTGCTTATGAATTTTGCAGTTGAAATCCTGTTGCAGTTCAAAACCTGTGATGCAATGAATGTAGTTGCCTTCATGCCTGATGTTCCTTTTAGTTTCAAGTTCGACATCTTTCTTGCTTAAAAATAATCAAAAAAACTATAGTCAATACCAATGTATTAAAGATGATAAACTATTGATGAGCAAAGAACAATCATACAATAAAAGTAAATTATAGAGGAAGGCATTACTACGCATGCATCCTATTTAGTACAATTAATATTCCCTACGTCGTTAACATGTGATTAAAGTGTGGCAATCATAGATTATGAAATCAAAACCAATGTAGTTGTAATTTAGGATGCTAATATATATGAAGATGATCAAAGAACAAAAAATGATGATCATGACAATAGTAAATTAAATAAAAATAAATTTTAGATGATTGACAACCTATATCGCCAAAGTCAGTTCACAAATGTAATAAAGAAAGATTTCGATCAATTACCCACCGGAGATGATTATAGAAAATGTAAACACTATTTGTAATAAGTTAACTTACCCTAATATGCAGCCTTAACGTGTGTAGGTTAGAGCGAAAGGAATTGCGATATATTTTGAAGCTCCACTAATGAAAAATTCAAACTGTACAAATTAGCGCTAAATATGTAGTAATTCAAAATTTTAAAGTAATTCTAGCTTGATAAAAAGGGTATATAACATCAAGAAAGAACAAAGAGCAACGAGGTGTTCATAGTACCATAATTTTAATTTAAAATTATAAACGAGAATTAAACAATAATAAACTATACATCTTTATGTTGCTATGTTTGAACCAAAATTTATATATAAAAGACGTATGGGTCATGGGTCGATGTGTTAGTTTCTTATAGTGTAATGGTAACACCCATGGATGACATATGGGTCTTGATTCATGTGGTAGTTGCTTATAGTGTCATGGTAACACCCATGGATGATATATGGGTCATGGACCAAGTTGTAGTTGCTTATAGTGTCATAGTAACACCCATGGATGACATATGGGTCATGGATCAAGTTGTAGTTGCTTATAGTGTCATGGTAACACCTATAGATGACATATGGATCATGGGTGTGATGTTAACACCCATGGATGACATAGGGGCCATGGGCTGCTTATAGTGTCATGGTAATACCCATGAATGACATTTGGGTCATAGGTCCATGCGGTAGTTACTTATAGTGTAATAGTAACACCCATGGATGACATATTGGTCATGGTTCATGTGGTAGTTGCTTATAGTGTCATGGTAACACCCATGGATGACATATGGGTCATGGGTCATGTGGTAGTTTCTTATAGTGTCATGGTAACACCCATGGATGACATATGGGTCATGGATCAATTTGTAGTTGCTTATAGTGTCATGGTAACACCCATAGTGTAGGAAATGGTGTGGGCGTGGACTTTTAGGAATGGGTAGATGGGTGAGTATGTGTGTGGTGGAAGTAGCTTAGGGTGGGTGTGGGATTATAGGAATGGTTCTAAACCTCTAAGCCCTAAGTCATAAGCCTTGAAAGCCATACGCCTTAAGCCCTAAGCTATGAAATGCGATGTTTCTTCCCCTGTTGTGTCGCACGGGTAAATAAAATGCGAACCTACTCCTGATTTCCCTTTCTATAATTTTGTTTGTGATGTTGTTTGATTTGTTCACGTCAATGTCTTGAAACCCCTACTATTTGATGTTTTTAAAAGGGATTTATCGATACACCTTTGATAATAGTAGGTGTTATGTACCCTTGTTCTAATCCTCTTCTTTTCATGCTTGTATTGTACCATAAATGACATAAGCAAAGTTAATTGCACTAACGATAGATAGTCAAAGTAAATGGTTTTCATGCTATAAATATTTGGGCATAAATAATGATAAGTGGTTTAATTAATCCATTGAGATCCTTTTGTTGTAAAGTTGCAGCTTTGATTGGAGACTATTGTTCATGGTTAGAGTATGATAGATTATTACATCTTCTCAACTCTTGCAATGGGTTCTTCAGATATTTTATGTTGAACTTTTCGTATTGTCAACCCTTTACGACCACCCGTCAATGTTGATTTCATGATTTGATTTTTGTATGAGTTAGAATTGTACAATGCCCACCCCCAAATATATGAATTTATCAACGTTTAAATGGAAACTATTTTCATTTTATGGCACTACTCATTAGTAGGCACAGTGTCCCCCCCCCCCTAAAAAACTAATGAAGAAGTATCTACGCCTTTAGTGTCAAAGATAATTGGTAGCTTGTTAAGGGAACGGACATGACTAGACATTGGTCTTGAGTTGAAAATGTAACCGTGGTTTATAATCCGGAAAGAGAATCAAAATCAGGTTTGGCTATAAACCGACGTCGAGGTGGATTAAGAACCGAAGATTATTGTGTGTCTTCCCGTCCAAATGGTATGATAGAATGATACCTCATAGGACTTGTCTAACATGGAGTAGGGTTGGGCAAGATATCTCCTAACAGTTATCATATCAGTACCCTACCAATATTCAGAGAATAATCGCGAAAGAAAAAAGTTTGAGGCACCGATAATTGTTACAGATAAATTGTCGATACTGAGTCCACAGGTTGAGTGTCGGGGCCGAAATCAAAACTCCGTAGCGACAACCGAAGGGGAAAATCTCCAACTCAAAGTGAGGTCTGGTAGCGAGATGATACGCCCACAACACCGAAGGTAATGAGGTTTAAGCAAAATACAATTAATAATGACATCATGAAGTTCTGATCAGTGAATAATTGAATATCCCCACTATTTGATTTTCTTGACATTTTTAGTTGATGTTTGGCACCAAAAAATCATTTCGTCTTTGAAAAGAACTGTAATCACAGACATATACACATATAACGAACTGGATTATTTCGTTGAAAAGAATTGTAGGCAAATATATGGTTTTAATATTGGAGGGAAATTTAGCCGATTAGCTTTTTCTCATAAATTAATATGATTAAAAAAATTATAAAAACTGATTAAAAATGTTTAAAAATAAATTTGGGTAAATTTGATATTTTAAAAGATTAAGAAGGATAAATACGATATTTATAGTTTAAAATATGATATTTAAATGTTTAGTAAGGACATATATGAAATCTTTTTTTTTTAAATGAAAAATTATAATACTAAATAAATAAGCTAACTATTATAAAATACATATGATAAGTCATTTGATGTCAAACAAATCAATGTGAAAATGCTTTAACAAACCACCAAATATACATGGAATTTCAAATACTAAAAATCAAAGTAGTCGACTAACATTCTGTCAAAATCAAATAGAAATGCAAAGTTGGCATTTTATTTTTAACTGTCGTTCTCTTTTTCAAACAATTATGGCACTAAATGCGAATTTTATGTTACAAGTATTTTGTTGCTAGGCTAGTTGGTTAAGACAAGTAGTAGTATCCATCATGTAAAGTTATTAACTCATTTAATTAGCATAGTCTACATTAAAAATATTTGTTTGTTTTGAGACAAAAAATACAATTTACTCTATTTGATCATTATCTTCCATATATAAGTTTCCTCCATCTAAAAAATACAATTTACTCTATTCATTATCTTCTATATACAAGTTATATAAGTTTCCTCTATCTAAAAAATACAATTTACTATTCATTATCTTCTATATACAAGTTTCCTTCGTAGACATATATTATAGCACTGCCTAGTTTCCCTTTCGAGAATACATTCACAAAATGTCAACTAGTGAAACATCATATTGGAGAGTTGATTTTCTTCTTGTATTATATGTGGGTATTTTACATCTATCAAATACAAAAGGAGACATTCAGCCATTAATTCCAGGAATCATGGTATTCGGAGACTCTATTGTTACAGTCGGAAACAATAACCACCTCACAACCGTTGTACAATCAAACTTCCCTCCATACGGTAGAGACTTCATGAACCAGCTCCCCACTGGTCGCTTTTGTAACGGAAAACTCGCCTTGGATTTCACTTGTAAGTATTTTATGATAAAATTATCACCATCACATGTTACAATTATTGTATATATTTCGTACTTTATGTACAGGTGAGAACCTTGGATTACCAAAATACCCTCCTGAAATACTAAACAAAGAATTAGCTAAAGGGGAGAATCTCTTAGTTGGAGCCAACTTTGCATCTGGTGGCTCGGGATATTATGAGACCACTGCCAGGCTATATGTAAGACCAAGTTTCCCTTGTTACAATGACTTTAACATCATGTAAGAAACTGATATATAATTAGAATATAATCCATTTTAGTTTTTTTGATATATAATTAGAACACGATCCCATTGAGCAAGCAAGTTGAGTATTACAAGGAGTACCAGATAAAGCTGGTGGATGTTGCAGGGTTATCGAATGCAACTTCAATAATCAAAGGTTCAATATACCTTGTGAGCGCTGGAACTAGCGACTTTGTCCAAAATTACTATGTCAATCCATTCCTATACGAAGTCTACACACCTTACCAATTTTCAGACATCCTTATACAAGCCTACTCCCATTTCGTCCAGGTTAAAAAAAAAAAGATTTTAACACTCGAATTCTGGTTTACGTTAATAAAATCGTATGGCGTAACTTTTTTTTTTTGTTGTTTTAAATTGTTTGAAATAGTTTGTTACACTTATATATGGGGTTACAAACAATAAAGGGTGTATATCTTTTTCGAAATATATTCCATATATAACTTTCAAGAAACTTGAATTATTTTTCTCAGGAACTATATAGGCTAGGAGCAAGAAAGATCGGAGTGTCGACATTGCCACCAATTGGGTGCCTACCAGCATCTATTACACTATTTGGTAAAGGTTGCAATGAATGTGTCACAAAGATGAACTCGGTAGCCCAATACTTCAATAAAAAGCTCAACGCCACATCTAATATACTAAAGGCGAAACTCTCAGGCCTTAATATAGCGGTGCTCAATGTCTACAAACCTCTTTATAACCTGATTCAGAAACCTAACGATTTTGGTATACGATTGAAGCGTAAAATTTGTTAATGCATGCATCTTGTATATACATATAGTAATGTAATGATTCGTATTTTTAGGGTTCTTTGAAGTACGGAAGGCGTGTTGTGGTACAGGTTTGCTGGAGACATCGTTTCTATGCAATGAGAAGTCACCAGGGACGTGTGCTAATGCCACGGGATATATTTTCTGGGATGGGTTTCATCCATCGGAGGCAACAAACAAGATCTTGGCAAACGAGTTGCTCCTCGATGCCATGTCTCTTTTGTCATGAATCATAATGGATCATAATGGCCTAGATCGGATCGAATTTGTATACAATGGTACAAACATAATGGAAAATCAAAATGGTATTTGCACAAACTTGCTTAATATTAAAAGTGGTGCATACCAAAATCATAATGTAAATGAAAATTACAATTGTATCCGTTGACTCTTCATTTGTTAAAATTGATATATGATATTAAATGAATTGTGCAAGTTGGCATGTTTGTAACTAATTTATGTTAGGATTGAAAATGACGAAACAAATATATGAGTCGCGTCCGGATTAATTTTTTATGAGATTTTCTAATATGTGTCCTAAGGACACAAATAAGAAGCATTAATTGATGATATATATTATCATTATTAATTGTAAAATACATTAATTATGAAAAATATCACCATAATTAAATGTGAAATAATTAATAATCTCTATAATAAATATATTTCGAATTTAACTATGGTAATATTTTTCATAATTAATATTTTTTATATGTGCTTTTAGAGCGCAAATTAGAAAATCCCATCTTTCATAGCTTATCAACCTATTAAAGAATGACCCTCCAACCTGAAAACACAATGGTTGCTACCCCTATGTAAAACCATAATAATCCTCCCTTAAATCCTCAAAAACACAATGGATCGATAATGGATTTTTACATCCTATAGTTGTTATTAATCATCATTAGTTATCGCTGGATACAAATCTAAGGATAATAAATTTTAGAACTATATTTTATTCTGTTATGTTGATTCTTGAAACTCTTTTTGAACATCCCCAACATTGGTTGAAATCCATTTTAGTAGTTATGATCACAAAAATATTAAATTATTTTGATTGTTCTTGATCCATTCTTTGGTTTTTCTTAACGTATTAGCGATTTATAATTATAATTTCTATTAAAGTGTTATTATTGTTATTAGTCACAAAAATATTAAATTATTTTGATTGTTCTTGCCAGATTTAAATTGTGGTTGAATGTCTGAATGTTCTCATTATTTTCCATCTGAATGGGATGTATGTTTGGTGGCCAAATTCTGAGCCTAAATCTATGTAGTACTTATGGTTCTATTTTCTTGTAGTTTTCTTGTAATATTACAAATATATTGACAATACAAATATATAAAGCCCAGTGGGAGATGGAGCATAAAAACAATCGGCCCAGTAGGGCTTGGCTTCCTTGGCCCAACAATCTTAGCATACCATTGATAAAGCTGACACAAACCCAATGAGAGGGAGTCCAACCTGCGTTTCAGCCCATCATGATAAATTGTCCCACCATCAGCAAGCCTAAGACGACGAAGAAGACACCTATGAGTCCCTCCCTCTCCGCCTGCATGTGGTTGCAACTTGCAAGTTGCAACACCCCACCCGACCACCCCAACATTGGTGGGTGACGCCCGAAATTTTTTTCTTACAGATTTTTTCCAATAACTCTTAGATTTAGATCAAAATTATTTCACAATTTTCTTTGTGTATTTGTATTTTATGTTTTTAATATGGGAAAATGAATCGTGAGGGTAATAAACTATTCTTTTTGTTTATATTTGATTATTTTTGGTTTTTTGTACTCTATTTACCATTGAACTTGTTTTTGGAGTTCCAAAATACCATTGCAACCTCCTATTGAAGGTTTACGGCGACTTTATCACCTTTGGCGGCTCTCTGCTCATCTTCTCAGGCGAGCCTCCGAAAAATATGAGTTTTTCGGCTATTTCAAACCCACAAATCAAGATCAAAACCCACAAAAAACAATGCTCGATTGTTCTTCTCTATTTTCCAAATCTTCAAATCGAAAAAAAAATGCGTAAATGAAATCGATTTTCAATTATGATTTTTCACACCGTGTCAGTTTTTAGATCTAGTACATCATAACCCAAAAAGAAATCTATAAAAAATCAAAACCCACAAAAACCAAGTTTCAATATACAAAAATCAACCTTCAAGAACACACAAAGATCGAAGGCTTTGAGTTTTTCTTGTGTTCTTGAGTTCGGAGTTCAATAAACAAAAACCCTTAAACTCATTCAAAGATCAAAGTGTTTTTCTTTTCCTTGAAATCGATTTTCTTTTTGTCTTCTTGAGTCTTGACTTCGTAATTTCCAGAAATCAGATCAAATCGAATTTTTCCATAAATGATTTCGATTTTCTGGGTAGGACCTTCAAGAACAAATGAAATTGATTTTCTAGGAAGATGACTTTTCATGTGAAATCATTTCCTGGGTTAAGAAATTAAGATCTTCATCGTCTTCTTGAGTGCTGAGTTCGTGACTTCCATAAATGAAGACGGATTAAACCGATTTTTTCCACAAATGAAATCGATTTTTTGGGTAAGAGCTTCAAGTACAATTAAAATCAATTTTCTTGGTAGATGTTTGTTCATCTAACGAATGAAGCTTTGATTTTACATTTCAATCTTGGATTTTGAAGCTCGATTTTGAATATGGAATGTGTTCTTCATGTGTAGTCTTCAGATTTGGAAACAGTGTGGAAAATGCTCTTTGATTTTTTATTTCGATCTTGGACTTGAAGTTCGATTCTGGATCTTGGATTTTGAAACTTGATTTTCAATATGGATTTGTTCTTCGCGTGTGTTCTTTTAGATCTGGAAAATGATGGTTTTGGATGGTTTTTCTTGTTGATGTTTGTGCAGGTAAAATCAAGGGGATGGTGGTATGGGAAGATGGTAACCGAAGGTGATGAGGAATGATTCAGAAGAAGAAAGCAAGAACATTTGCCAAGAACACGCCAGAATATTCATTTTTCGTCAAATTCTCGCCGAAGAAGGTGACTCAAGAGTCTCCGAAGAGGACAAGGACACTAGAAACCTTCAATAACAAGTGATAACCAGTCAAAAGGGTTATGATGAATACAGTGGCGAATTTAAAACCTAAAACCACGTTGTTCCTTATTTAACCATGAAACATATAACAAACTAAAATATACTAGTAGCGGGTAGGATTAAAATATCATCATTTTTAGAATTGTATGTGACAAGGGCTTATATCTTCAAATATATTGATAATGCTATCTTAATTGAAACTTTCGAATACATCATTTTCACATGATAAAATTTCATAGTTGGTCGTTCTATTGAATCAACGTGCAACACGTACGCGCAAAAGCCAAAAGTGTTGGCGACGATTCCGTTGTGGGCTTTTGTTTATTATTATTAATTTTTTTTAATTTTAATTTTAATGGATTTGACTAATTTTTGTTGGATAAATAATAAGTGGGTTTTTGTAAAAAATTATTAGGTAGTTCCTTCAAAAAATTTAAGCTAGTTTCCCTAAATTTTTGCAATATAATTAGGTTTGCAATTAAGATAATTGGGTGTGTTCTAGGATCCACCTTGGTATACTATAGTCATGCCCCTGGATGAATACAAACAACAAGTTAGATGGTATATTGCGTTTAATAAAAAAGAACTAAATGTGAGTAAAATCAACAATACCCTCCAGAGTCATTTTCCCTTTTAATATTCTGGTTAATGTTTTCTTTACGAAGCAAATTAAATCATAGAAACTAATTTTTTTTTTAAATGGTTTATTTTGGTAAAATCCAAAATTGGTTTTAGTTCTTTTTCATTTTAAAATTGTTTTAATAAAAACAACTATTATTTAAAATTGGTTTTAAACAGATCATATAGCAGGTTTGTATGCAGGGAAAATATTTGTAACACATATTGTAACGATGTAAATTTTAAACCAATTTTTTTTTTTTTTTCATTTTTACAATCATTAAAAACATCGAGTAATAATTTAAGTTCCAAGTGTGTATGATCACGCCGGCGCCTTCTCACGGTCCTCGCTAGTACCTGAAACACATCACACAACAACTGTAAGCATAAATGCTTAGTGAGTTCCCCAAAATACAACCTACGCACATACGCCTTTCCAGGCCCTGACCTTCCGGTCCATGTGTCTCAGGGGACTTCCATCCCGATTGGGTGAACCTTCCGGTCCTACCCATGTCAACCTTACGGTCCATTTTACAACGCCTTCCGGCCCATAACATATTCGCCTTCCGGCCCATAATATAATGCCTTCCGACCCATATCAAGCATATCATACATGGCACATATAACGAATAACTTATCACACATAACACATATATCTCATAGCATATCTGACCTTCCGGTCACACAGTCAAACCCTTCCGGGTACAGTATAGTGAGCAGAGTCACCTCGTATATCTCGATAACTCGTGAACCCTGGAAATCACTCGTGCTCGAACCCCCGAGCTATAATCCTCCTATAATATCACATATCTATAATTAATACTTGTACCACTAAGGTTGACCATCCCTATCAAGTCAACACTGGTCAACTTTGGTCAACAGTCATTGGTCAATTTGACTGGACTCGGCGAGTGCACTAGAGCGACTCGGCGAGTCTACGCGTTTTCACCAACTCGCAAGGATTTCCCCTTGACACGTCGAGTACTCCCCTGACTCGACGAGTTCCACCTGGTCATGAATCACGGGGCCACCGAGACTCAACTCGCCGAGTCGCAAGGATAACTCGGCGAGTCCCAACTTGACTCGGTCCACTTGTCAATCCCTCTCTAACTCTCTGTGACTCACTGAGTCACCCATAACTCGGCAGGACTACTCACTGGGTGGTTTTAAGGACAATCTTCAAGCTACTCGTCGAGTCTGTTCTTCAGACTCGGCGAGTCCATGCCATGCATCAGCTAAAACTTGCTTCTGTGGTCAGATCCGTTCCATACACACATAGATATGGCCTTCCCAAGCTCATTTATCACGTAAAGTCTCAGTCTTGGCTGCCATGCAATACTTACAAGGCTCTTTTTGGGGAAATAACCTCTAATATGGCAACCCTAGTCTCCAACTCTAAAGAATAGTGTAACATCCCGGAATAGCATGAGTAGATTTGAAGGGCTAAAAGTGTAAATCTTGAAGGGCGACTCGGCGAGTCCATGGATAGACTCGGCGAGTAGAGTCGCGACTTTGGTCGCGTGTCAAGCGACCTACTCAGCGAGTCCAA